AAAAATGGAGGCTCTCTAGACCCTTCCAGAGCTGAGATATCGAAACTCAAAATTTCGACCCCCCAAAAAAACGACAGTGTACCCCTTACGTTTTTTTTTTTCGGGCGAAAAATGAAGTTTCTCCAATCTTCTCAAAACTCTGGATTCTGATAGAGGGCCATGAGACTTACACCTGAGTGCAAAAATGGAGGCTCTAGACCCTTCCAGAGCTGAGATATCGAAACTCAAAATTTCGACCCCAAAAAAAAAACGACAGTGGTACCCCTTACGTTTTTTTTTTCGGGCGAAAAATGAAGTTTCTCCAATTTTCTCAAAACTCTGGATTCTGATAGAGGGGCATGAGACTTAAACCTGAGTGCAAAAATGGAGGCTCTAGACCCTTCCAGAGCTGAGATATCGAAACTCAAAAATTTGACCCCCAAAAAAAACGACAGTGGTACCCCTTACGTTTTTTTTTTTCGGGCGAAAAATGAAGTTTCTCCAATCTTCTCAAAACTCTGGATTCTGATAGAGGGCCATGAGACTTAAACCTGAGTGCAAAAATGGAGGCTCTAGACCCTTCCAGAGCTGAGATATCGAAACTCAAAATTCGACCCCCAAAAAAACGACAGTGGTACCCCTTACGTTTTTTTTTTTCGGGCGAAAAATGAAGTTTCTCCAATCTTCTCAAAACTCTGGATTCTGATAGAGGGCAATGAGACTTACACCTGAGTGCAAAAATGGAGGCTCTAGACCCTTCCAGAGCTGAGATATCGAAACTCAAAATTTCGACCCCCAAAAAAAAAACGACAGTGGTACCCCTTACGTTTTTTTTTTTTCGGGCGAAAAATGAAGTTTCTCCAATCTTCTCAAAACTCTGGATTCTGATAGAGGGCCATGAGACTTAAACCTGAGTGCAAAAATGGAGGCTCTAGACCCTTCCAGAGCTGAGATATCGAAACTCAAAAATTCGACCCCCAAAAAAAACGACAGTGGTACCCCTTACGTTTTTTTTTTTTTCGGGCGAAAAATGAAGTTTCTCCAATCTTCTCAAAACTCTGGATTCTGATAGAGGGCCATGAGACTTAAACCTGAGTGCAAAAATGGAGGCTCTAGACCCTTCCAGAGCTGAGATATCGAAACTCAAAATTTCGACCCCCAAAAAAAACGACAGTGGTACCCCTTACGTTTTTTTTTTTTTCGGCGAAAAATGAAGTTTCTCCAATCTTCTCAAAACTCTGGATTCTGATAGAGGGCCATGAGACTTAAACCTGAGTGCAAAAATGGAGGCTCTAGACCCTTCCAGAGCTGAGATATCGAAACTCAAAATTTCGACCCCCCAAAAAAAAACGACAGTGGTACCCCTTACGTTTTTTTTTTCGGGCGAAAAATGAAGTTTCTCCAATCTTCTCAAAACTCTGGATTCTGATAGAGGGCCATGAGACTTAAACCTGAGTGCAAAAATGGAGGCTCTAGACCCTTCCAGAGCTGAGATATCGAAACTCAAAATTTCGACCCCCAAAAAAACGACAGTGGTACCCCTTACGTTTTTTTTTTTTCGGGCGAAAAATGAAGTTTCTCCAATCTTCTCAAAACTCTGGATTCTGATAGAGGGCCATGAGACTTAAACCTGAGTGCAAAAATGGAGGCTCTAGACCCTTCCAGAGCTGAGATATCGAAACTCAAAATTTCGACCCCCCAAAAAAAACGACAGTGTACCCCTTACGTTTTTTTTTTTTTCGGGCGAAAAATTAAGTTTCTCCAATCTTCTCAAAACTCTGGATTCTGATAGAGGGCCATGAGACTTACACCTGAGTGCAAAAATGGAGGCTCTAGACCCTTCCAGAGCTGAGATATCGAAACTCAAAATTTCGACCCCCAAAAAAAAACGACAGTGGTACCCCTTACGTTTTTTTTTTCGGGCGAAAAATTGAAGTTTCTCCAATCTTCTCAAAACTCTGGATTCTGATAGAGGGGCATGAGACTTAGACCTGAGTGCAAAAATGGAGGCTCTAGACCCTTCCAGAGCTGAGATATCGAAACTCAAAAATTTCGACCCCCAAAAAAAAACGACAGTGGTACCCCTTACGTTTTTTTTTTCGGGCGAAAAATGAAGTTTCTCCAATCTTCTCAAAACTCTGGATTCTGATAGAGGGCCATGAGACTTAAACCTGAGTGCAAAAATGGAGGCTCTAGACCCTTCCAGAGCTGAGATATCGAAACTCAAAATTCGACCCCCCCAAAAAAACGACAGTGGTACCCCTTACGTTTTTTTTTTCGGGCGAAAAATGAAGTTTCTCCAATCTTCTCAAAACTCTGGATTCTGATAGAGGGCCATGAGACTTAAACCTGAGTGCAAAAATGGAGGCTCTAGACCCTTCCAGAGCTGAGATATCGAAACTCAAAATTTCGACCCAAAAAAAAAACGACAGTGTACCCCTTACGTTTTTTTTTTTCGGGCGAAAAATGAAGTTTCTCCAATCTTCTCAAAACTCTGGATTCTGATAGAGGGCCATGAGACTTAAACCTGAGTGCAAAAATGGAGGCTCTAGACCCTTCCAGAGCTGAGATATCGAAACTCAAAATTTCGACCCCCAAAAAAACGACAGTGGTACCCCTTACGTTTTTTTTTTTGGGCGAAAAATGAAGTTTCTCCAATCTTCTCAAAACTCTGGATTCTGATAGAGGGCCATGAGACTTAACCTGAGTGCAAAAATGGAGGCTCTAGACCCTTCCAGAGCTGAGATATCGAAACTCAAAATTTCGACCGAAAAAAAAAACGACAGTGGTACCCCTTACGTTTTTTTTTTTTCGGGCGAAAAATTAAGTTTCTCCAATCTTCTCAAAACTCTGGATTCTGATAGAGGGCCATGAGACTTAAACCTGAGTGCAAAAATGGAGGCTCTAGACCCTTCCAGAGCTGAGATATCGAAACTCAAAATTTCGACCCGAAAAAAAAAAACGACAGTGGTACCCCTTACGTTTTTTTTTTTTTGGGCGAAAAATTAAGTTTCTCCAATCTTCTCAAAACTCTGGATTCTGATAGAGGGCCATGAGACTTAAACCTGAGTGCAAAAATGGAGGCTCTAGACCCTTCCAGAGCTGAGATATCGAAACTCAAAATTTCGACCCGAAAAAAAAAAACGACAGTGGTACCCCTTACGTTTTTTTTTCGGGCGAAAAATGAAGTTTCTCCAATCTTCTCAAAACTCTGGATTCTGATAGAGGGCATGAGACTTAAACCTGAGTGCAAAAATGGAGGCTCTAGACCCTTCCAGAGCTGAGATATCGAAACTCAAAATTTCGACCCCAAAAAAAACGACAGTGGTACCCCTTACGTTTTTTTTTTTTCGGGCGAAAAATGAAGTTTCTCCAATCTTCTCAAAACTCTGGATTCTGATAGAGGGCCATGAGACTTAGACCTGAGTGCAAAAATGGAGGCTCTAGACCCTTCCAGAGCTGAGATATCGAAACTCAAAATTTCGACCCCCAAAAAAACGACAGTGGTACCCCTTACGTTTTTTTTTCGGGCGAAAAATGAAGTTTCTCCAATCTTCTCAAAACTCTGGATTCTGATAGAGGGCCATGAGACTTAAACCTGAGTGCAAAAATGGAGGCTCTAGACCCTTCCAGAGCTGAGATATCGAAACTCAAAATTTCGATCGCCAAAAAAAACGACAGGTGTACCCCTTACGTTTTTTTTTTTTCGGGCGAAAAATGAAGTTTCTCCAATCTTCTCAAAACTCTGGATTCTGATAGAGGGCCATGAGACTTAAACCCTAGTGCAAAAATTGAGGCTCTAGACCCTTCCAGAGCTGAGATATCGAAACTCAAAATTTCGACCCCCCCAAAAAAACGACAGTGGTACCCCTTACGGTTTTTTTTTTTTTGGGCGAAAAATGAAGTTTCTCCAATCTTCTCAAAACTCTGGATTCTGATAGAGGGCCATGAGACTTAAACCTGAGTGCAAAAATGGAGGCTCTAGACCCTTCCAGAGCTGAGATATCGAAACTCAAAATTTCGACCCGAAAAAAAAAACGACAGTGGTACCCCTTTCGTTTTTTTTTTTTTCGGGTGAAAAATTAAGTTTCTCCAATCTTCTCAAAACTCTGGATTCTGATAGAGGGCCATGAGACTTAAACCTGAGTGCAAAAATGGAGGCTCTAGACCTTTCCAGAGCTGAGATATCGAAACTCAAAATTTCGCCCCGAAAAAAAAACGACAGTGGTACCCCTTTCGTTTTTTTTTTTGGGTGAAAATTGAAGTTTCTCCAATCTTCTCAAAACTCTGGATTCTGATAGAGGGCCATGAGACTTAAACCTGAGTGCAAAAATAGAGGCTCTAGACCCTTCCAGAGCTGAGATATCGAAACTCAAAAATTCAACCCACCCCCCAAAAAAATACGACAATGGTACCCTTTTCGTTTTTTTTTTCAGGCAAAAAATAAAGTTTCTCCAATCTTCTCAAAACTCTGGATTCTGATAGAGGGCCATGGGACTTAGACCTGAGTGCAAAAATGGAGGCTCTAGACCCTTCCAGAGCTGAGATATTGAGATCCCACGTAGCATTTATGCCATTATAAATATCAAACTATATCAATACATCAGTCATGGTTGATTTACTCTCTCTGTATTATTTTCTAGGTTGAACCAGAGTTGACTGAAGCCCTGAAAAAGTGAGACAACTCAGAAAGATGGTACTCACCTGGAGAACTTTACTGGGAACCTGCCTTTAGAAGCTTGAGTGGGATTTTACTCCAGAACACCTGTGTACTTCAGCTAATGTAGACAGCAAACCACTTCTTTTAATAAAAGAATTGAGTGACACGTGGGCTCGAAAGTTTTCTTTTTTACATAATGGTTGCTGTAGACTCATACAGAGTTGTCAAATTCTGCTCCACCTTCAACTCTAATCAAACACCTAAACCAGCTAATCCTGGACACCCCTGCTGTATACTGACCTCAATTATCCAGCAGTTGTGATGGTCTTTTAATCTATTGGTGAAAGTAATTTGCTTTATTTTAACAAGGTATCTATTTGGGCTTGGATGTTCAATAAAACTATCCAATAAACAGACTTCTGCTTTTACTCATTTACAAATGACTAGTATTTTGAATATTTTGGCAAAACAGAACACCTTTGTGGACATCCTTTCTCCTACAACAAACTAGACAAACCAAATTAAGCTGGATTTTTGAATTGACCAACTTTTAATTGCTTGACAATCTCTCCCATTATCAGTTTATAAAATCCCTTGTTGATAACACAGGATTAATTTGTCCTCAGTCAGAAAGCAGATAGATCTTTTTAAAGGCTCATGCTATTGGGGTGGGGGTAAAGGTTTGGGGTTATGACAACATTCTAACCATAATTTCTCATAAAAATCTTCTAATACTGTTTACCTGAAATGTTCGCTTATCGTTTTCTCGGTTTTAAAAATACTTGAGCACTTTTTTTTTCCTCGCATAGAATTTGAATACAAACATCAGCATCAGTAATGTAAGAAAGGCAAAGGTAAGAAATTTGGCTGAATCACACAGCTTGACACATTTGAACATGGATCAAATGTAACCCTGCAGCATTGGGGGGGAGGACTGTACATTGTGTGTCAGTTACATTTCGTACAAATAAACAAATCGACAAAAAAAAAAACTCCCTCCCACGCCACCCTGAATGAGAACACAAGTCTTCCAGCCACACTCCGACATTGGTCTACCGTCTAAAAGAGTGTGTCTTTGCTGGTTTTATACACCACTCACCCAACAGACACACTGAAATTCCTGAAGAATCTTCCAATGATGGCTCCCGAAGTACCCCCCCTGACTCCTTGGAAGGTTGTGCAATTTCGGCAGGAGTGGCACACTTTGAGTGCTCTTGCAGAGTTGGAGAGGGAGAGAGAGTGAAATGTACATCTTTAAGGAGGAACATTGCATGAGGTGGGTAGCAGAGGGCATTAAACTCATGTCACTTCCTGTGCCCCTTTCTGAGAACATGAAACCTGTAGGATAGTGCTGTTCAACACAGAGAGAAAGACAAATTGACTGTGTCCGAAACAAAAAACAACCCCTACCCAGTCACTCAATGTTTGTACGAAGATACACTCTTAATTCCTCAGGGTTCCTCAAATCCAGCCCTGGAAGACCAAGAGTTGCGCTCAAACCCTGATCAAACTGACCTACCAGTTTTTTTCTAGTAACTTCGAAGACTTTGATTAGCTTGTGCGTTTAGCCACTTCTCCACCGTGAGCCCAAACTTTTCTTCTTGCTTAACCATTCCAATCTGTGCCGATCTGGCCCAGCCGGTATGGATATGGTTTCATTTTTCCATTCCGGGGCTCTATGGAATGTAATACAAATGCATCAGTCATTGCCTTGGTAACACAAAAGTTTACATACGGTATGAGATGTAAATAGCGACCCTGTTATGGAGGATGATCAGATATTTCTATTATTAACTGTGTTTACTTTAGCGTGCTTGGCAAGGCACAGAGAAACTGGTAGACAAAGTGACCAATCCTGAGTGGCGACGTCACTACACACAATCTACCAGCACGGTTGGCTAACCACGCTGAGAATCCCGGGGCAAGAACAGTTGGTAAGTGTGCCGTGCCAAACCAAGCTCAAGTGGAAATATAATTATAACTGTTCCTTCATCTTGACGGAAAAGTGGCATTTGATTAGAGTTGACACAGGGCAAGATTTGAGGAACCATGGACACTAATTGGACAACTCAGACTTAAATTGTATTTGAACAATTGCATTTTCCAAACTGCCATGAAACTAATCAACTTGCCCCCCAATTTCCATTCTGGAGTAGTCAAAGCAAGTTGCAAAAAGTCAGTTTGATCCTCAGTATATGATGTGGAGTTTATTTTCCTGAAAATTTTTACAAAGCCAAGTGAATGATACTTAGGGCCAGATTAGTGTAAGAGTGCAATCCCATAAAAGCACCAATGGGAGTGGAAAGTTCTGCACGTGATCGACTGACGACGCACAAATTAAAGAAGACCGATGCAGCTGGATGATTTCCATAATGGCCAACACAATCTACCAAGAAGCAGCGCAAATTAGCATCTATGGTAAATAAAGGCGCAAATACCAGTAAATTGAAATCTTAGTAAACCTGGTGTGATTCATGTAAATACTCTCCTCCAATAAATGTAGCATGTGAAAGGAAAACTCCTACAAATCCATATGCAATAAGGTCAGCCACAAAAATAACTGTTCAAGCGCTAATTTTTCACTGCGTGTTTTTAATGCCAAAAGAGGGTTTGCGCTGACGCAAGCTTCTAGTAAAATCTGGCCCTTAGCGTTTTAAAACCTGTTCAGATCTTAAGTCGTACAGTGCATTCCACCACACGATGGGACATGAATCTGGTGAAAAGAAGCAGGGGTGTCCTATCTTGCTCCTGGAGAATTACCTTCATGCAGGGTTTAGCTCCAACCCTTATCGAACACTAAAGAACCCACCAAACCAATCTTTTTTGGGGGATTATTTGAAACCTACAGGAAGGTGTGTTGGAGCACCTAGGAAGGTGACTCTCCAGCAGTAGTGTTGGTCCTGAGTCATTTACATTGATTCGGCAACTACTAGTCTAGCCTAGTCACACTCTTTCAGTAAACCGGATGTTCCACAAACATTGGAATCGGATACGCCTTGATGCCTTCCTACCTCAGGTACTGCCAGTGAAGGCACCATTTTCAGTTTTTCGGACACAGCCAATGAGTAAGTGATATAGAGAGAGAGAGGCCAAGAGAGAGGCTGCTTCAGCTGGTGTTGGTGGTTACTGTCCCACACTTCATGCTCTATGTGTCTGGTATATGGCTCAGTGGAGTATCTGCCGGCTCCATAAGCCTGTACTTCTCCTCCAGAGATGGCTCGGTCCCCTGCAGGTGAATTAGTGGCTTGGTCTGGAATACACCCAGACTTTCCTGGTTTCTCCTGTTGTATATGTTCACCCTGTGCTCCAGTTCCGGACTGGCCTTCACTGACCCTGCCGGACTGGGCAATTTAAGGTTCACCGGGTCCACCCTGCCTTTCTGCGCAAGGCAGGAGTCCTCGGACAAGGAAGAGAGAAGCTCTTTGACCACCGCTCTGGGGTCATGGACGCCCGGTTGCGTCCCGAGGGTCAAAGGGCTGCAGTATGGAGGAGGGCAGCAGCGCTGGCCACTGTAGTCGGAGGTGGAGGCCTCCCGTACGGTAGAGCTGCAGTCAGTTGTGGAGCCCAGCGTGTGGCTGCTGATGCTGTGCTGCCGGGCCGTGAAGCTGCAGCTCGACCGGGACATGGTCGTGCTGGATGCTTCACTTACAGAGCTGACCGTGCGCTCTTGACCACTTCCTGGACCGTCTGCACTGACAAGGGAAGGCGGCAGCTGGTTGGGGTTGGTGGGAAGGTGCACATCGATGGCTGCTGTGGTTATGACACGAGCACCAGGGTCGGGCACTCCGATGTCTGTGTGTACAACAGATTGCACAACTTAGGGAATGAGTGCCGTCCTAAATATTTACGCATCATTGACAGTGGTCAACGGATACATCAGCCAGACCATTTGGGATTTCAATATTAATTGAGCTGGTTAATTGAATTTCAAGTCAAATTTGAACAAATGTCTAGTTTCAGTTATCTCACGTTTTTTAAATGATATTTCTTGCATACTTATGTTTATATAATTATATATACTGTATATTTCAACATTTTATGGCTCATGAGCAACACTGCCATCCAAATGTTGTCACTGGCCATTGAAAAAATCAGTTGACCACTAATTTGGATGCATGCATCCAATTCATGCAGGAAAAGGTGAATGCACGTCCTGATTTTATAGAGTTAGACACGTTCCTGAGTCAAAATATTTTGTTGATCCTGGGACAAATGTAATCCTAACCAGGGGCTTTTGCACCAGGTAGTTATAGGAACTTATAGGCACCAGGGCAGTTACTTTAAAGGAGTTCCTAGAATTAAAATCATTCCCAGTTCTTGCGCTGCAAACACAACAACAACAACAAAAAAACCCCCCAAAAAAACAGGTACCTCCGCCATTAGTTCTAGGAACTATGAAAAGGTTCATCTGGTGCAAAAGCCCCTTATATCCCTACCTCTAAACCTAACTCAACCCATAACTTATCCCTAAAATCAGAGGGAAAGATAGGTGAATAACACTTATATAGAAGAAGCAACTAACCCCGGTTGTAAGCCTAAACTTGACGTGAACTGTAAAAATCGGACTGGTTGATTGGAACATCGTTGCACAACATGTTGCACTTGGTGAAATCGGCATGCCAGTAAATGCATATGCAGTTGACATGCAAAAATGATATGCATAGATCAAACCTACAAATAAAATATATATAATAGAACATTGTGTAATCAAACAGAATAATATAAATTCAAATATAATAAAAAAGAAATGAATAACTTTTGAGACTTACCGCTACTTGGCTCACTGTAATACTGACTGATGTAGTTATTCATGTCATCATGAACACTCTCTGAAACAGAACAAATGTAGGTCCATCACAACATAATAAGCTCTTTCCCCTAACGTTTAAAACAAAACAGAATACTGAAGTTTTTCTGATCATTTTTCTCATTTTACAGCTTTATAATGTTGCTTAAACTAGTGTGCTACTGTGCAAGCAATGCATTAACGTTCTGATTCTGGCCATCCCTGTCTGCTGTTTGGCCTCCTGACCCATAAAGAGTCTGTCTGATGTGGTTGTGGCTGTAGAAGCAGCGGAGGTCATCGGCTGGGCAGAAGCTCTTATGATCCGCCTGGCAGAGCGAGTCGTCGACTGCACTAAGTGCCATCCGCACATCTCTGGAGACGAGACAACTTGCAGCACCTTTTTAAATTCATTTTTCCTGTTTAAAATATTAATCAAACGGAGGCTCGCGAGGAGATGGGGAGCCGACTAAAACACCAGGAAGACGATCCCAGCAGAATAAATAACACATGAGGACGAAGACGACCACACACACACTTTTTTTTTTTGACTTCTTCCAGGGAGAAAGGAGAAGAAA